ATAAAACAAACACTTTTGAGTTTGAAGGAACAGATAGGTCCAGACAGCATAATAGAGGGAGATTTCAAAATCTCAGTCTCATCTATAGACAGAACATTCAGACACAAACTGGTGGTGGGAGACAAAGTGGAAAGTGAGACTATTGGGTGGGGTCAAAGGACCAAAGTAAATTACACCCACAGTGGGCATACATTTAGACACCTTTTTGAATGCCAACTTAAATATTAATAATGAAAACCATGTCTGTAAAATAGGAACAGTATGTGTTGCGGTACTAGTGGGAGGGGGAGAAGAAAGGAGATTAAGGTGATAGTATTTGGTAGATGAACTTCATATACCTTTACAAAATAGAACTAAGAAACCATTTGCAATTACTATAAGTGACTTGAGGAGAAGCTGAGGGGGAGAGAAAATGGGTGCTCAGTAAATAATATACAATGTAAATCTAATTGGAATTCTCACTATGAATACCCCCTGTATAATGAATATATCTTACTAAAAATTTATAAAATAAAGAAACTGTATTAAAACTAACAAAACCACGAATGAAATGGACCCAACAGACATTTGTAGTCTATTCCATCCTACAGCCAGAGTTTGTAAACATCTTTTCTCAGCATCTCATGGAACTTTCCCCAAAATAGATCACATATATCCTAGGTCATAACAAATACAAAATAATCCCCTAATAGACAATAAAGAAATAAAATTAGAAATTAATTGCAAGGAAAAGCACAAAATCCATTCATATTTATGCAGATTGAACAACACACGTTTGAACAATCAATGGATAATTAAAGAAAGTAGGAAAGTCATCCCTATATTCAAAGGAAAATGAAAACACAACTACCAGAATCTATGAGTTTTACAGCAAAGGTAGTGCTAAGGAGAAAGTCATTTATTGAAATTCTCAATTAAATCAATGAAAGAGAGAACAAAAAATATATACAAAGAGTGAACAAAATAAAATTTGTTTCTTTGAAAGACAAATAAAATCTTTAGCCATTCTGACTCAGAAGAGGAGGGAAAAAAACCAAAAATTAATAAAATACAGTTTTAAAAAGTGGACATAAAAAATACCAATGAAATCCAGAAAAGTATTATGGAATGCCTTGAAAACCTACACTCAAACTAGAACGTCATGAAAAAGTGGATGAACTTCTGTATGCATTGGAACAATCAAAATTTGACCAAGAGTCTGTGCTGTTTTAACACCTAAATAAATGTCCAACAAGCTATGAATGTGAAGCAGTAAAGATTCTCCCAACAACTAATAGCCCATACTCAAATGAACCTGATTCAATCTCACCCAGGTCAGATTGACTTTCATCAAGAAAAACAAAGAACAAATACCAGTGGATTGGGGAGAGAAACTCATGTACATTGTTAGTGGGAATGTAAATTAGTATAGCTATTATGGGAATTGTTATGGAAGTTCCTCAAAAAACTAAAAATAGAACTACAAATCGTCCTGCTCTATCACTCCTGAGCTTACACCGGAAGGAATGTACATCAGCATACAATAGAGACATCTGCAGGCCCATGCTTGTAGCAACACTACAAACAATAGCCAAGCTATGAATCAGCTTAGGTGCCCATCAACTGATGAATGCATAATGAAAATATGGTATTTACACAACAGATTATTTAAACCAGAAACAGAGAATGAATTTATATCATTAGCAGAAAAATGGATGAAATCAGAGTTTACATTAATCTAAGTAAGTCAGGCTCAGAAGGAAAACATATTTTCTGTCATAGGCAGAATCTAGACTTGAAAGAAACATACAGCATGAACATGAAAGGAGGCCTGTTTGGGGTGGACCCAGGGATAAGATAGACAGGGAAAGGAGAGGGAGATGAATGCTGAACCTGATGGGAACACATCAAATGAACATGCTGACTGTAAATAATGAAACACATTAAAATTGTAAAACAAAGTGGGGACATGAAAGGCAAGCTGAGGTAACAGAGTATATGGCTAATCTGATGTATATATGTTACAGGCACATATGGAAATACCACAATGAAACCTCTTTTTACAAGTAATATACACTAATAAAGTTATAGTTTGAATTTTTGTTTAACATACACTAATTGTACATACTTGTGGTACACTGTAACACATTTTCATAAATATATACTTGGTGTGAAGAGCAATCCAGATTAATTAGCATATCAATCAACTGAAACATATGCCATTTTTTGTGCTACATGGAACCATTCAAAATCCTTTTTAGTTTTTTAAAATATGTACTGCATTTTTGTTAGCTTTAGTCACCAACTGTGCAACAGAGCACTAGAACTTTCTCCTTGGATCTAATGGTAACTCTCTACCATTGGACAACCTCTCTACACTTTCCTCCCTCCATCCATATCTATCCTCTGGTAGCTCCTATTCTACTCTCAATTTTGATTCCACTTAAGAGTAAGATCATGGCTGTTGGTCTTCTGATATTCATTTTCATAGGTGGGAGATTTATCTAATTGTGGTTTTGATTTCCAAGGAGTTCACATTTTGTTACCAATGGATAAAATTTTGTTGGAAGACAGACACTGCTATTCATTTATGAACTGCCTGTGACTGCTTGCACACTTATAACGACAGAGATGAGTCATTATGAAGACCATCTGCCTATGATGCACAAGGTGTTTAAACCTGGCCTTTGGAGAAGATGTTTTCTGGCCACTCCAAGCAAGCAGGCAAGGTGATAACTACGTTATTGGATGTTCTTATGTTTGCGTTTCAGAATGTGTGTGTATGTGCACTCATGTGTGTTCAAGCAAGTGTGCATAAACTTTCTTGGGTCAGAGATGCCTGGTGGATGGTAGACATGATAGAATCATAGTCCCCCACATGTATCACAGCATTAACCCCTGCATCCTGTGACTGTCACTTTATCTTGCATGCAAAGGGATTTTGCAGATGTGATTAAGCAAAGTGTGTCAGTCAGCGTTCTGTCTCCATGGTAAAATACTAGTATAATCAACTTAGAAGGAGGAAAGGTTTTCTTTGGCTCAGAGAAAGGTTTCAGTCTGTGGTCTCTTAGATGCACTACTTTGGGCCTGCCATAGGTAAAGCATCATGTTGGAGCAAAGCCCCTCACCTCATTAGGGCCAGGAATCAGAGTGACTGGAAGGGTCCAGGGTGCTACTATTACCTTAAGGGGGAATTCCACTAGTCTGTGTTGGACTCTTGCCTTGACCATAACAATCTAACGGAGAGGAGGGGGTGTGGGGAGGAGAAGCCACTTCTGAAAAACAAAACCACCCTAGATCCACCTAAGGTCAGTCCCTAGGCTCACCTGAGTTCCCAGTGTATTAGAATGCCCAGCCAAAATCAGTTGATAGCCCAAGGCTAATCCACAGCTGACTACAGACACATAAGTCTACCAGGCAATCTCAGAGCAAGTTCTTCCCATGTAGTCCCATTGAGAACACAGGCATTATATTAAACATTTTAAAAACAGTTTTTATGCAACAATGGATGATCTTGACATTAATCAAGTGGACCATCAAGGAAGGCAACTATTATCACCTGCTTACTTGTATATTTGGCTTGTGCTCTGGTGTTTAAAGGCGACATCTACTATTGCTGTGTTACTCATGGTCATTGGAAATAACTGTATTTAAAGGAGACTGTATGGGGATCACTTTTTGGGCAAAAGATTATGAATGATTGCAAGAAAACTTGTTGACTGAAATCTCAAGACACCAGGAATTCAAGCTTTCTTGCAGCAGCTATGAAAATGACATAGGAGAACAGTGTTTAGAGAGAAGAGAGAACAGAAAGCTTAGCAGTACATAAGTTTGATTTTTTAAAACTTTTTTGTTAGTATACAAGTGTTGTACAGGAGTTTTGTTATGACATTTCCATAAATATAGCATGGATTTGTTTATCGCCTCCATTTTTCTCACTATTCCTTCTACCCCTTCTTATAATGACTTCAACAGCTTTAGAGTTTTCATATTCATACATGCATAGAAAGTACCTCAACTCTGCCTTTCCTTCTTTATTTACTCTAGCCCTCCCACTAGTACCCTTCCTTTAACATGACCTGTTTTACACCCCAATTCTTCATTATTTGAGGGACTGTTCAATGTTCAGTGATGTTTTGCCTTGGTATTTTACCCAAAAAATATACTATTTAAAATCAGTCTAAACCCTCTATTACTCTTCCTTATCCTTTTCCCCTTAACATCTATGGTCCAATCAGTTTTCAGAGTGCTTTGTCGTGTTTTGTTCCTACACTGATGTGATTTACATCAATATTATTCACTCAGTACCATTCCCTTCTTCTTCACCTCCTCTCCTAATCTTCTCTAACAGTTCCACTATTGAAAATACAAATATATGTATGTATGTGTATGTATATATATATATATATATATATATATATATAAAGGAATAGGAATCCACCCCACCCCCCTGTTGGAGAAACCGGTACCAAATGCCCCCGTGTAGATAAGATAAGCAGAGCAGCAGGGCTCAGCTCGGGCATATAGAATGTGAGGAATGTGAGCAGGTTGCGAAAGATAATGGGATGTACGTGCAAGATGGGCTCTGCCTGCTTGCTCAATGTTGATAACGAAAATATGCGTGCAACTGCTGACCTTTTACTCAATAGGCTGAAATTGCATGAGATGTTACAAAATCATTGGTTAACTGTTGCGCGGGCTTTTGTTGTAACGGCAGGTAATGGTCTATATAAGATATTCCCTAAAGAGGCTCAGGGTCGTGTTTTCCTAACCGGTCCTGCGTGTCCGTGTGGGAGCTCGACCCTGGCTAGCCAGCACAATAAACTCTGCTTTGTTGATTGCATTCACACGTGGCTCTTTGTCTCTCGGAGGAATAGGAATCCCGTTCCTAACAATATGATCTTGATTAATCAAGACATAAATTTTAAAGAAAAGCTGAAATCAAAGTTAATAACATTCTAGAAAAACAATATGTACTTCCAAAATCTGTTCAAAATATTATAAGCTAACTAGTCTTACATTCAATAGCACTTTTTAAGATCCAGTATAATGAGATCTTTCATGGTTAGTCTCTCAAAGAGTGTTTTTAGTGCTCTCTTGATCTCCTTATTCCTCAGGCTGTAGATGAAAGGGTTCAACATGGGAGTGACCACAGTGTACATCACTGAGGCTGTTGCACTCAAATGTGAGTTTTGATTAACAGAAGAGCTGAGGTATACTCCAAGGAATGTAGAATAAAATAGAAAGACAACAGAGAGATGAGATGCACAGGTAGAAAATGCTTTGTACTTCCCCTGAGCAGATGAGATTGCACGGATGGAGGAAACTGTTTTACAATAAGAGTAAAGGATTCCAGTTAGGGGTCCACCACCTTGCAGAACAGTTGCAAAATAGAGTACCATATTGTTAAGGAAAGTATCAGAATAGGCAAGGTGAACCAACTGGTGTGTTTCACAAAAAAAGTGTGGGATTTCCAAGTTGGTACAGAAGGAAAGATGCAAGACCATGAAGCTTTGCACAAAGGAATTCAGATCACTTATGATCCAGGACACCAGCACCAGCAATCCACAGAGCTGGGGATTCATGATGACTGTACAGTGCAGAGGGTGACAGATGGCCACAAAGCGGTCATAGGCCATCACTGCTAGAAGGAAGTTGTCCAACCCTACAAATAATGTGAAAAAATAAATCTGGACAATACAGCCTTCATACCTTATGACTTTGCTGTGTGTCTGGATATTCACCAGCATTTTTGGGACAGTGCTGGAGGTGAAGCAGATGTCCAAAAGGGACAGGTTGTGGAGGAAGAAGTACATGGGTGTGAGCAGGTGGGAGTCTGAGATGGTGGCCAGGATGATGAGCAGGTTCCCAAGCATGGTGAGCAGGTACATGGATAGAAATAGTTCAAACATGAAGGACTGCTTTTCTGGATCATTTGAAAGTCCCAGAAGAAGAAATTCTGAAATTCGTGTATCATTTGTTGATTCCACGTGCTGTAGATGATTACTATGAAATAGAAAACAATATGACTAATTTTCATGGCTAATCTTTTCTATGACATTCCCTGTGTCATGTAACTGGGAATTTCTATTCCTCCATCTGCATTTTCCACAATATATTGTGTAACCTGTGGTTTTAATGAACAACTCTATCATTCACTTGAGAATGTAATTTGAGCTCCACCCACACCATATTGATAAACTGATGTTCTTTAAATCAATTCATCAAGAAATTATCTAAAATGAGGAAGGTAGCTTTATGGTAGAGTGTGTGACAACACACATGAGGACCTATGCTTGATCACTAGAATGGAAAAACAAAGAAACCACAACTCCTTCAAAACAGTGATTATCAAAGTAAACAACTTAAAAGGAAGACAGAACATTAGAGATACCCATACATTGTTGCATCTCAAGTCTGAAACAAAACATCAAACGTTTCATCAGCCACAGGGTGTAATGTGTGGTGTGTGGTAATAAAGGCAGGTAGTGGGAGTGTACTAGTAAGTAGTGGACAGTTGTCGACCAGGAGAAATGCAGAAACTTTCACTTTAGATTTGTAATAGAGAGAAAGGAGCTTACCATTGGGTGTTAAACTGCATTGTAAGGAAGATGGAGAATCCCTCTCAGAGGATTCAGTTAAAACAGACAAGGGAAGCATCAGCCAGAAGCTCAGGTACACAATTTCACAGCATTCAAATGCACTGTTTACATTGGTAGGTGTGTAATCTGCACAGAAAGCTGGAGGAGGTCCCTCAAAAAAGACATGTTGCACATTGATCAGATTAAAGCCTTCTGTTGCTCCATCTTTTCTGCTTACCTCTCCTATTTTCAGTTGCGTTCACTGAGTAGCCCTGTGTCACTTTCATACCTAGACACAACATATTGAGGTATTGTCCTCCTACCCCAATCTCTTTTCCCCTCTGCTCTTCCCTTCTCCTTACCCCAGTCCGAGAATTGCAGCCATGTTTTGTATATGTTTTTGACACTGGTTATACCTCAAGAAAACAACAGCAAAATTAAGCAACAGCTTTCATTAAAATACTCTAAAAGATTTCTTTCTGAGCACTTACCATAAAATGTGAGCTAAGTGCAATGTATTCGTTCATTTATTCCTCTCAGTAACACCATGAATATTTTTATTTATGACTATTATGCACAAGGGGAAACTCTACAAATATATTGAGGCTTGTGTGTATAAAAATATGCACATGAACACAAAGGAACGTAATCCGGGACATAATACAAATACCTGTACACCGATATTTATCACAGTACAATTCACAATAGCAAAGCTTTGAAAACAGCCCAGGTGCCCTCAACTGAAGAATGGATCAAGACAATGTGTTTTATATACACAATGAAGTTTACTCAGGAATAAAAACATGTAGTTTGAAGGTAAATGGAAGACCATTACATTAAGTGAAATAAGACAGGCTCAGAAAGACAGAAGTCATGTGTTTTCTCTGATACATGAAATATGGATCCAAAGATAAACATATACACAAAAACAATCATGCAAACATTGTCATATACAGTCATATGTAGAATATGTTTGCAATGCTAAAACTAGTCTATGGAACTCAGGGAAGGAAAGGAGAGGAAAAGAGAATGATATAGTATGAACAATAGCATAAAACGTAACATCTATGAAGGTAAAGGATGTAAGGATATGTATAAAATCTGGTGAAATTGGGGGATGGGAGTTAAAAGGATAAGGAAGAACAATGGAAGGGGTTGAACAGACCAAGGTAAGGTGTACTCACAGCAGGAGTACTTTGAGGCACCACTTTGAAAATCAGCTTATATATTAATAATGAAAGACAGGACTGTTAAATAGGTATAGTGTGTATGAGTGATATTTGTGGGAGGAATGAGGGGAATGAAGGAGATTAAGGTGAGGTTATATGGTTGATGGACTTCATATACCTATATGAAATAGAAAAAAGAAACCCCTTTCTATTTCTTTAAGTGAGGTGGGAAGGGTACTGAAGGGGGCAGATGGTGGGGGTGTTCTATCCAACATATAATATTAGCCTATTTGGAATTATCAAAATTAATCCCCCTGTACAGCAAATATACCGTACTAAAAATTTTAAACATATGCTCATGAGGCCAGAGATAGGGTGCACACCTATAATCTTAGTACATGGGAAGCTGAGAAAGGAGGATTGTGAGTTCAAGGCTAGCCTGGGTTACATAGTGAAGCACTATCTCAAAAATATGCTTATGAAGAAGATGAAGGTGATATTTAGTTGAATTTAAAAGCATATATTGTACAAGATGGCAGAGGATGATTGCTATTTATAAAATTCACAAAAGGCAAGATGGCAATAGCAAGGAAAAACAGGAAATAAAACAAAGGTGTAAAGAGCACATTATTAGCACTAATGATTCAAAAAAAACACCAATTGTAAAAGGCAATTAGGATGAAGAGCCTGGAATATTAATGAATAATAGATTGCTCACAAAAATTTATTAAGTTTTACATATCACCCTGAAAAATCTATCTATCTATCTATCTATCTATCTATCTATCTATCTATCTATCTATCTATCTGTCTGTCATCTATCTAAAGCAGTGAAATAGGAAACAGTAAACTTAGTGAAAAAAATCTCCAATTCTTCCTTTAAAAAATGAAATCAAAATGTAAAAATGACTCAGTCTCTAAAAGGCAAAGAAATTGCATAACTACTGAATTGGAAATCAAAAGGACACAGCTAACAACCCCTCAAATATTATAGCCGCAACAGTGATGAATGAATTACAACATAAATCCCTGTCATTCCTCCCTTTCCCTATCATATAAAAATTATTTTTCATGTGAATACCCATAGTTTGAGATGATACTGTAAAAAAATCTATGTATCATGATCATGCAAGGTCACGTTCTTAAGTAATCCTTTAGTATAATCTTTTTATTGAATAAGAAAATAAGGTAAAAAATATTTCATGACAAAGCTAAAGAAAAATGAAACCTCTTGAAACTATTCCAGGAACAGGGGAGATGATAAAGGAGATTGATGGAGGGGGAGAATTCAAACATGATATGTTGTAAGAAGTTTTGCACAGGTGCCAGTGGCTCACACCTGAAATCCTAGCTACTCAGAAAGCAGAGATCAGAGATATGGAGGATAGTGGTTTGGGGCAAATAATTTGTGAGACCCTATCTCAAAAATACCTAAGACAAAAAGGGCTTGCAGGGTGCCCTCAAGGTGAAGGCCTTGAGTTAAAGCCCCAGTACTGAAAAAACCAGAAATTTTGTAAATTCAATGTACTCCTAGCACAACAATAAAAACCTAAAAGAATAAAAAGCTAAGGGAAAAATGCCGTCACTTCACTTCATATCCCTCAAAACTAGAAATTCAAATCTCTTCCTCCCTAATTATAAAAAACCTTCAATATATTCTAATTTTGTGGGAAATAATTTAAAGCACTTCTTCATTCATCCTCATCCAACATGACTTTTCCATAGCTGTTACATAATTGTCAACAATGGCAGAGTCTAAAACCACATGTCTTTTTAATACATTAAAATAAGCTGCCAATTAGTGAGTGATGTATGATCTCTCACCTCTGGACAAGGCTGGCTTGGATCTCATGTACATCCAGGTTTTCTGGTTCCATCCTTTCTTTTATTGACTACTGGAGTCTCAGACTCACCTGGATGGGGTCCATGAGACAAAGGCCTCTGTATGCAACTCTAGATTCCAACGTGGTTAATTGACGATGGAGACTGAAGCTCCATCCCAAAGAAGAGAAGGAGTGAAGTAAAGGAGTGAAGCATTTGTCCCTAAACTGTAATTAATACTCCAAAAGAAACAACTGTGTCCTATGTAGCCCAAGGTTGTTGCCCCTGAAAGACAACATCTCAGCATCTATTTATAGCTCCCTCTCTCTCTGCTCATTAGTACACTTCTCATTATGCCAACTCTTGAGTGCCCTCCTGATTTCCCTGAGGGGCAATGTACTAAGCAGGAATAAATGATTTCCTGCTCATTCTATGTTTCAAGTGACCAGATTACAAATCAGGTAAACCCAGAGTTTATTACTTCTTCTCCATGAAGTCTCTTGCCTTTCAAAAACATAACCACCATAAAAATTTTGCCTAATTCTTAGTTCCATTTTCCCCAAAGTCTAAATTACCTGATATTTCTATATTCCTGGATTCCCAAAAGACAGAGGGAGTTAGTCTGTTTAAATTACAATATATTCATGGGTGAAATATCATGGGAAGGCCCCATGACCATGAATATACACTTTAAAAGAGCAAGACAGGAATGCATAACACGACCTATTAGGTGTGGGTAGTAGTTGGAGCGGGGAAGGAGGTGAATAGAGAGGATGGAGGACGAATGTGGTTGATGAACTTTGTATATTTGTACAGTTATATGAATACAACAATTAAATCTGCTGAAATTGTTTTAATGGGGGAGGAGGAGGATGCAGAAGAATGATGGATGTGGTTAACCTGATCAAGGCACATTGCATTGATAATGCAGATTGCATTTCATAATAACCCCTCTGTAAACTAACATATGACAATAAAAGTGTAAAAAATTCATGTTGTGCATAATAAAAAGAAATTCTGATATTACCAACACCTTAGTGAAATGACTTTAAGAAAGTATCAAATTGATAAAGTGTACTCTGTTTTGATGGCAGGGGAAGCAGAATTCTTACAAGATGTTTTGGATGAATGGTATAGAAATGTTGAAATCAAGGAAATAGAAACTTCTAAAAATAAGTGCAAGAGACAAGAATTACTTCCATGTCTGATCAAATGATGGTAATTTCTTGTTCTGAGGCTTCCAACCTTTTGCTGAACAGTGCTTTTACAGGAGTAAGTCAATGACGGTTTTACAGTTTCTCTGTCAAAGACATATTCTAAAGACCTCTTGATATCTGCATTCCTTAGGCTGTGGATGAAGAAGTTCAGCGTGGAGGTGACGACGCTGTACATCACTGATGCTTTTACAGTTGA